ATGCAACACCACCACCAGTTCTATTTGGGCGATGTTTGTGGATAAAATTGAAACCATGTATGTCTACTGAATGGGAATAATCGTTTAGCAAAGTCTCAGAAATGTAATTAAAGAGAACTTAATATTGAAGCATGTCAAAAGAAAAGAAAGGCTGTTTAGATTATGTTGAAGACTACAAATATTTAGGTGTAGGAGCGAAAAATCTTCATCGCATAAATTATCATTTCTCAACATTTCGTTAAATTTGTCTTCAATGTAGTAATCATAGTGGACGTCATCTGTACCGAAATTAACATCAGCATCTATATCCTCAGAACGAGTTAGGGAAAGTTGTGACTTGAAAATAAAGGATCATGATTTAGGCTGGAAAGTCTTTCAGGATCATAATGGACCGGGCCATGTTGAAGTTCGTAAATTGCAAGGTTAACACTGTTATCGTCTAAAGCATTAAAAGGTAAAGTGTGATCGGGAATCGAAGCCATGGCTTATAAACAATAAGCATATAAATACGCACTATAAATATTATAGAAAGCTAAAGCACAAAACTACACAGCTACTTAACTGGGACGCTCAATTCTGTCTTTAATAACCAGCCTGTCTAAAACGAAATAGGCTATTTTCCCGTTTTTTCTCGCTTCTTCGAACTTGGGACGCTGCACTTCCCTCTTGTCAAGGGTTTCTTGTGCCAGGTCTTCATTAACAAAAATTCTAGGGGGCTTGATTCTCCTTGCATTTCTGATGATCTTTTCTTTTTGTTTCCAATCGTGGAGGCGACAAATGATGGTCTTTCGACGTCTTACGGAGCCAGTTGTAGCATTTGCTCTTCTGCCGACTCGATGAGCCCGCTCGATATCCGGTTCTTCATTGAGGGTAAGCTTCCCTTTGAGTATCTCCTTTTCTTCTGGTTTCGGTGTTGTCCCAGTTTCCGCTTCTTCCTCTCGAATGCCGTCCATTTGAATATTACCCCTTCTACTTTGGTTCTCCAGATATTCGATCTTATCAGTGTGGTAATCGAGGGAACCGCACATCTTTTCAATCTCTTCTTCGAGCTCATGCAGCCAGGATGAGCATGGTTTCAAGTCCTTGATATCTTTCTGGGAGAACTCAAGGCTCACCTTCAAGTCGCTAGTGTCTTTCTCGTAAATATCTAGTCTACCTTTGATTTCTGCGACTTGGCCGATGACGGAATCTAGCCGTGCGTTTACGTTGGCCAACAGTGAGTCGAATAAATTCTTAACATTCTTTCTTGCACTTTCAACAACTCCGTCAGTGTCGCCATTGTGACAAGTTTAGGTCCCATGGAATCAGCTCCTTGAGTGCTAGCAGCCTTCGTGGTATGAGTTTCAGGCATAGTTAATTTAGTTGGAGTTGTAAATGGCAAACAGTGATAACAAGAATTGAGTGGAAAAACAAGATTCACTCTGAAATTAAAGCAACTATCGCGGAGTAAAGAAAGTACGACCGTACGCCACTCTTAATGAGATGCACTCACTTTCAATGATTGGAGTAAACAATAAAAACCACATGCAGCGTTCAAGTTAAACATACTCACCTATATTGCTCGAGACTTTCCCAGTAGCACTGGACTTCATTTATTAAGTAATGATATAGAGGGACATCACAAGGAAGCTTATGTCTGTCCGATTGGTTGCATTAGAGAGCTTTAGCAAAGTCAAAAATTCAAGTAATGGGTTTTAACAAGCAAAAAAACTGATAACTCTGCACGTGCATGATGATGCACACTTTTTGGTTGAATTTCTTTGCCGTTGCTGCACGACCAAGCCCGGGAACTTAGACATAAAATATCCAGACGGGACGTTCTTCTTGAGAACGTAAACAAACGACCACAAATTTTTTCTTTCTCTTTAAACTTCGATTACATTCATTTGAAATAGAGGCGATTTTGACACTGTCGCATTGTAACTGCACGACACAGTCATGCGTACAGAAGTGAAAATGATAATAATTATGCGGATTTCGGACGCTACAGTACAAAAAAGACGGACAAAATGAGGTTGAGGCGCGGGGTGCACAATTTCATACAAAGCACTGTATTTTGTCCACCCAAGCCTTGACTTGATGCCTTTTTTTACCGGAATTCAGGAAAGGTCTACAGCAAACGTGCAAGATTACCAAGAAATGTTATGGACTGGTCGCAACATCTCTATTTGGAGTGTCAAGCGAATATGTGAGTGAGCTCTCACTTTCTTTCCCACACCTTGTTCCTATGTCTCCTTTCGTGTGCCACTTGGGCGTTACTTCTCTCAAAATCTCTTAAATGGACAGCTTGTTCGCTTTTGTAAGAGATAGTCGCCTCATCATCTTAATGGCTCAGTCGATTCCAAGCATACCCATCCCCCAAAAGCATTTATCAAGTGTTGGAATCTCTTTTGGCTCTCAACACCTGAGCAAAAGCAGACAAAATTACTCAAACTGTCGTTTGAGCAATGGTTGTGCCAATTTTCCTATAGTTTGCCAGGTAACAAAAATGAACCTCTCCAGGGTATCCAGTAGCAGTTATCAACCTCTCGTCAAGTTTTTGTCTACTAAACTGAGCTTGGGCCGTCTGTACTGTAGCCAAACGCGTCAATTCCAACCTTCTTCTAAACTGAAAAGTATCCCTGTGTTGTTTTAAAATGTTGAAAATGCTTCCTGTTAATTTTGTATAATGTTGTTACAATGTTTGATGTTGGGTTCTCAAACTCATTAATTATTCATGTGCTGATGACCCAATCAGCTTGCATCAATTGAGTCAGGTGCATGTATTTTGATACCCAATGAACATACCGATCAAGACACATTCGATTAGTTCAAAAACTGATCAAGACACTGATCAAGAAACTTGAATTTTAATCAGCCTTAATACTAAATACAGTATATTTGCCGCTTCAATCATTACTTACAACAACAATAGGGCAACATATTATTCTTTCAACTTTTCCGTTGTAGAAATAGATCGTGTTCAATAACAACTTAGCTGATGTAGTTCCCAGCAATTTCTTCTCCCAGAATGTTGCTTCTTCTTGCTTGCTCACAAACTCCTTCTCCTCCTTATTGCACTTAATGTGAAGCCCTTCTCGAACGCCATCCTTCATCTCGGCATCTAAGCAACGTCGGAACAGGACAAACCTTCGAAAAACAACACACCAAATTCAATTCCCAAAACAGTGCATTTTAAAATTCTGAACAATGCAGTCTAAAAGTTGTCAATTACCGTTTGTCACTAGCGTCCAGAGGATTTAAAGCTTCGGATCCATTTTTCTCCTCCAAATAACGCTTGAGCGCACAAATGATACCATAAACAGTCTTGGGAGGGTATCTTCCACCGGACTTTTTAGATACCTCCATCATGAATTTTGACAACCAACAGTTCAGCGACAGAGCATCCATTCCAGCAATATCTGCGCTCAGAGCGGTAACCTTGTGTAAATCATAGTCCTTGAAGAGACCACCACAATCTAATACCGGGACTTGAACCTCTCTTAACCTCTGGCATTCCACAAAAATGCTCACAGCGGACTTGTTTTTATACTTAGTTGAAGCTGGAATGGCGTCATTCACCAGAACATTTTCTTGAAAAGAAGTTTTAGGAACGCGAAATCGTTCTGATCCGGACTAGACCTCCAGCACGCGCGGTAATGTTAATCTACTAAAAAAAAACCCAGCATGGCCGCATATTAAATATTCATTTCATTTGCCATGAATAAGAAACAAACAATAGCCTCTTGAGTACGTCTTCTAATTACCTATTCTTCGGAAATAATTCCACTAAATTCTCACACTAGTTTGAGAAGCCAGCTCAAAAACTTGTGCTTCGGTTTTCATCAGGGGTTCCAAACACATCGAAACAATAAAAGCACTCCGCCTTCGGCGTCGTGCTTTAATTCGTTTCTTGGTGTTTGGAACCCCTGAGGAAAACCTTGCACTCGTTTTTGATCTATCATGTTAAAGTAGGTAAACTCAACAAAAACAAAGTCTGTGTGCAGCATTTTGTAGTTTTCAATTCATTATCAAACAACAACATGAAAATAATTAATAACATCAATGAAAAAGAGACGTAAAATGTTCAGTTCTTTTCTTCTGAAAAAGCTGTAATGCAAACGGTAGATGTTCTCAAGGGCTGTTTGCTGCTCCGCCTTGATACAAACACTTTGATATTCTACCAATTATTTTTCCAATCAAAACGTTTCAGAAACAACCGAAATCAAGCTTCTTCAAAAACTATACATTTTCAAATTTGATGAAAGCTGTGCCCGGTGAAATGGGAAAAAAAGATAGAAAACTCAAAGAATTGTCCATCCTCACCAAGATATCCAAACATGTCATGTCGAACTACATGGGAAAACTAGACTGCAATAACTTAAGTTTTGGGTTGTTTACCATTTTCATGGACAAACGGGTGGGTTCGCGATTTGGGTAAATGGTTCACAAAGTTCAGGACTGGTAAATTTCGTCCCAGAATCGCATTTACCATTTGTACAAATCAGTTCCATTTTCCAGAAATTGGCTGCGAAGACCTGAAACCACAGGCGGCCCAGACGTAGTATGTGTCAAATGAATATATTAATATTCACATGGACAAAATAGGATGAGTCGTCGAAACTCCCATGAACTAAAATAGTCCAAAAGTCAAAATATAACATAACAAAGCTAAGATACCTTTAACTGAACGCATCCTTGTCTTTCCTGGCCGGTTAAAGGGGCATTTTGTTGAGTTTTGCAATTGTAGGTACTATCCACTAAAGAAGAATTAAAGGCCGGCTACAAAACAAACAGACCATCTCCACACGCCTTCACGCGAAGCGCTATAAATTTGAGAATAATCGACGAATCCGCTCCAAATTGCCATCAGCTAATCTGCGGGTAACGTGTGCTCCTGCTTCTTGCTCGCTGGTTCCACAAAACCCATCGCAACTGCACAATAATCGCTCGCTCATCAACAAACACTGTTGACCCTTACGCTTCGATATGACCGCAAACTACCAGGTTTAATAATAAGTATACTTATTCGAGCCGGCCACGCTGTTCGAGCCTCTGTTGTTTTTGCTCTTGTTCTACACTACACTTGCCAACCTGGATGCTGGGATTGTAGGAGATCATGTGTAAGGGACTGGTCTTCTCCCATATGCTGGTCTGAAGTGGATACAACCTTTCCTACCGCCGGAAGCCCTGCATTTTTGTTCCATCTACCGCAATATCGAACTAGTAGAGCTAGTTTGAAGGACAATGTGGCTAATGAGCCATTGTTATCTGGTGTTGTCGGAGAGCTGCTTTGTCATCCGTGATAACCAGGAATGTTGTGCATCTCGTATCAAGATCAAGCGAAGCAAATCCCGGTGTGCATATTACTCCAATTCGACCGCGACATTCCAATGCCTACTCCAAGGCGACCTGGTATTTAAACTAAATCCCGGTCCCATGGGTGATCAATCAACCATTCACGCTCATTGTTCCGTTACACGTCGTCGCGTCCCATTGTCCACCAGAACAAGGAACCACTCGAATCTTAATACAGTTAAGAAAGCGCCAACAACAAAGCATTTTAACACGCCAATTCTTGAACAACAGGACAACAGGGCTTTCCAGTTGTGCAGTTTGAATGCAAGATCATTAAGAAATAAATCAACGGCTTTTGTGGACTTGGTATGTGATTTGAAGGCTGAGTTGTTTACGATATGCGAGTCCTGGCTCCATGATCTTGACTCTGCGATTGTAAGTGAGCTCACTCTTTCCCGGTTATTCGAAGCTCTATCACTGTCCTCGTGTTGATCGTAGGGGTGGCAGGACTGCGCTGTTATATCGGGACGGTCTGGATGTAAACAAAGTGTTTTCAGCCGAGCGATCTTCGTTTGAAGTGTCGGAATGGCTTGTGGTGTTCGGATCTGTTCGTCTGCATGTTGTCATCGTGTATAGGCCAACATACTCTGCGGAGCATCCCGTGACTACGAGTGTTTTCTTTCATGAATTCTCAGTCTATCTTGAGTCGTTAGTCATGTGTAATGAGTTACTGTTAATATGTGGTGATTTTAACATTCATATGGACGTTCCATCAGACGCTGACACCATCCGGCTCAAGGACCTGTTGAACTCTATGGGTCTGGTATAGCATGTCAAACGACCCACGCACATACATGGCCACACCTTAGACTTAATTATCACACGGCAGGCTGACGATATTGTGGACGGTGAGCCCCTTCCTGAGAGATATTTCTCTGACCATGCTGCCGTGATATGTAAGCTAAGTGTGGCCAAGCCTCCGCTAAGAATTAAACATGCTGAATACAGGAAACTCAAATCAATTGATATGACTAAACTGAAAGAAGATATCCGCAATTCTCAGCTATATCAAGACCCGCCTAATGATTTGAACATGCTGCTCGACTGTTATAACACGACTTTAAGATCACTATTAGATGATTACGTGCCCGTTTGTTGCATGTCTGCACTCGACCCAGGCCCCCGTGGTTCAATGAAGACATAATTCAGGCTCGTAGGGACAGGAGGAAGGCCGATAGAAGATGGAGGGCAAGTGGTCTCCAAGCAGATCTTGTAGTATTTAAAGCTAAGCGAAATTATGTCATACATTTGATGAATGAAGCTAGATGTACTTATTACAAGGAATTCATTGACGAGAACAGTTCGGACCAATAAAAGCTGTTCCGGGCTAGAAAGAGCCTACTAAATCTGCAAGCGGACAAGTCTCTCCCACCTCACACTGACGCCTCTGTTCTTGCAAGTGAGATGGGTGAATACGTCATCCATAAAATAGTGGCTATTAGATCAAAGCTAGCTGGTGACACGGTCTCTCCTGCGGTTACTGAACGGGCGCCTCACGGTTCATCGAGTAGGGATGACCTTGTCAAACTATAAGAGTTTTAGCCTCTCTCCGAAGAGGCTGAAAGGAAGATGGCTGTGGCTTCTATGAAGACATGTACTCTGGACCCTCTTCCATCATCCGTCTTGTTAGTTTGCATAGAGGAGTTACTTCCAGTGATTAGTAGGATGGTGAACGTATCACTAGAGAATGGCTACTTTGCAGATGACTGGAAAAGGGCAGTAGTACATCCTCTGCTCAAAAAATCTAGTCTTCAATTGATAAACAAGAACTTTCGGCCTGTGAGTAATTTACAGTTCACTTCAAAACTCACAGAGAAAGTGGTTGCAGTACAATTACAAGAGCACATGCTAGTCAATGGCTTGTTTCCGGAATTGCAAAGTGCTTACCGCCAACATCGTAGCACTGAGACCGCACTACTCAAGGTGAAGAACGATCTCCTAATGGCGATGGATAAAGGTCAAGTTACGCTGCTGGTGCTTCTTGACTTAAGCTCTGCATTCGACACCGTCGAACATGAGATCCTTCTGGAACGATTGAGGGCAACAGTTGGATTGCGGGGGAAAGTACTTTCATGGTTTGAGAGTTACCTTAAGGGCAGATCGCAGCAAGTGTCTATTAACGGAACTCTCTCAAAGCCGTTTGATTTGAAGTGTGGAGTTCCTCAAGGGTCGTGCCTGGGCCCGCTTTTATTTACCATCTACGTGAGTAAGCTGTTCCAGATTCTAAAACACCATCTGCCCTCCGTCCATACTTATGCTGACGATACACAGTTGTATTTGTCATTTAAGCCCTCTGACTCTTCCAGTGAAGTCGAAGCTGTATCAGCCATGCAGAAGTGCATCTGCGATGTCCGAGCATGGATGAGGGAGGATCAGCTGATGCTCAATGATGACAAGACTGAGTTCCTGATTATAGGTACTCGTCAGCAGCTCTCAAAAGTTTCAATCCAAAGCATCAAGATTGGGCAGACTGAAGTCTCTCCTGTAGCCTCTGCGCGCAATTTAGGCACATGGTTCGATACGCATCTAGATATGGGAACTTACATTACAAAGACTTGTAGCAGTGCTTTCTATTATTTATACAATATACGTCATATTAGGAAATATTTATCCAGAGAATCAACTGAGAAATTAGTTCATGCTTTTATTAGTAGTAGATTAGATTATTGTAATAGCCTTCTGTATGGAATCCCGGAATATCAGACTATGAAATTGCAACGTGTTATGAATGCGAGCGCAAGACTTATATATCGTGCGCACAAGTTCTGTCATATAACACCTCTACTCGCAGAGTTACATTGGTTACCAGTGCGCTCCAGGATACATTATAAGATACTCTTGATAACTTTTAACATTTTACATGGCCTATCACCTAAGTACCTTTCAGATTTAATTAGTATTCAACAGCCTTCGTCCTACCATTTGAGGCGCAACGACAATGGTCGTTTGTTGCAAAGACAAAGTGTGAAAACAAAGAAAACATTGGGAGACAGAGCTTTCCAGGTAGCTGCTCCTTTCCTGTGGAATAAGCTGCCAAGGTCCGCGCGCGAAGCAACGAACTTAGAATCTTTTAAGACTTTAATTAAGACATTTTTATTTAAGGAATCATTTCAGTTATCTTAGTTTATCTCCATCTTTTTTTGTAATTATCTTTTACTCATTTTATGTAAATATTTTTTTTAATGATTTTTATAGAAAAGTTTCTAAAATTTTTAGTTATTAATTACTGTTGTGATGCGCTTTTGAATATTTTATAGAAAAGGCGCAATGCAAATAATAAATGTTATTGTTATTGTTATTGTTAATACGCGACGTGAATATTGAAGCTTAGCGACCGCGTCCGCGCGACAATGCAGCACTTGCTATGGAAGGGATGGTACTGTTGCTTCTAGGTCAATCGACACTGAGCGAGGGTCCCCTGCGTTAGTTTTGGCCAGAAAACAAAAGGCGATCGCGCGACCGTCCGTAAGTTTTCAACAGGGTGTCCTTGGTTTTCAAGTTCGAATTCTTCTAACGTTCGCTGTCACAGCTGCTGTCAAATTGTTCGTCCAGCCGCTTGCATAGGTTCTTGACTCTACTAGACCTACTTGCTAAGATTAATTAAATAAACAGTGCTTTCCAGAACTACGTCTTACTCCACAATATGTTGTCCAAACTGGTGAGGGAGGACGAGGATTTTCCGCCCAGAAAAAAGGCAAAATCTGGTCTCGGCTATGCAGCTGAATAGAAGATACAGCTGAAGATAAGCCGGTAAAGTAAAATTTATGTGCGCGATATCTTTATAATTATTATTATTAATATTATTATTATTATTATTATTATTTTCAAAACTTGGGGGCACCCAATGACGATTTCTTCCTAAATGCATTGAAAACACATTTAAGGCTGTCCAGAGTACTTTCAAATGCATTAGAAGCGGCGCTACTACACAAATTTAGTCAGGAGGGCTAAAAGCGAAGCTCTTCATAATATTTATAGTTTGCTGATACTAAACATAAAATCGTGTAATGCTAAGGGGAGAAGGCAACGAGACAAGGGCACCCAACAACGGTTTCCTCAAATACATTGAAAACACTTTTTAGCTATTCATAAAGTACTTTTAGCTCGATAGAAATGCATTCTAAGAGGCGCTATCTAGAGGAACTTGAGTCTTTTCTTTTTCAGATTCCTTCTTTCATCACATTTTTGAATCCAAAAATTTTAGGATTCCTTTTTACTCGCTACGAGAAATAGCCTAACCCGGCGAGTGAAATGTGAAAAATTAAACTTCAGAAAATCGAAGGGAATTTATTAGGAACATTAGATGAGCTTCGAAATTTATACATGAATGGAGTGGTCATCTAGAAATTTTTAGCCAAGTGAAAGAAAATTCTAGGCAAAATTTGCTTCTCCGAACAGACATTTTACAGAAAGCAGTCGTTGGATGCCCTTGACGAGAACTGTGAAAAACAATAATAGGTCTAACTGCAGCACACTTTCTTGTACATTTCCTTGCCGTTGATTTGCATGATTGCAACGTGAAACGTCCAGAAAACTTCCTAGTTTTCACTTTTTATGGAGGAAATGTGGTACATGTTTTTGATCACTTTTTCCACTGCCGCTCATTATTTTTTAGCTCCGGTATAAAATTCGTATCTGTTTCGGTGATCCTACGGCAAATTGGATCTTTTGAAACTTACGAGGGCTTCAATATTATTTTGCCAATTGATTGACCTAGAAGCAACAGTACCATCCCTTCCATAGCAAGTGCTGCATTGTTGCGCGGACGCGGTCGCTAAGCTTCAATATTCACGTCGTGTATTAAACCTGGTAGTTTGCGGTCATATCGAAGCGTGAAGGTCAACAGTGTTTATTGATGAGCAAGCGGTTATTGTGTAGTTGCGATGGGTTTTGTGGAGCCAGCGAGCAAGAAGCAGGAGCACACGTTACCCGCAGATTAGCTGATGGCAATTTGGAGCGAATTCGTCGATTATTCCCGAATTTATAGCGCTTCAAGTGAAGGCACGTGGAGATGGTCTGTTTGTTTTGTAGCCAGCCTTTAATTCTTCTTTAGTGGATAGTACCTACAATTGCAAAATCAAGAAAATGCCGCTTTAACTGGCCAGGAAAGACAAGGATACGTTGAGTTAAAGGTATCTTAGTTTTGTTTTGTTATATTTTGACTTAAGGACTATTTTAGTTCATGGGAGTTTCGACGACTCATCCTATTTTGCCCATGTGAATATTAACATATTCATATGACACATACTACGTCTGGGCCGCCTGTGCTGAAACTGGTATGAAAAATGGCTGTAAAGAAATGGAACACGAATTTCCGTTTGGAAAATGTCATCTGGAAAAACAGGACTACCTTTTCAGATGTTCTGCTGCTGGCGGAAATTTTCCGTTGGGAAGACTCAAAAAAGTCGTGTACCATTTACTATTAAGCCGGATTTCCAGACGATTTTTGTAAATGGTGAACAACCTTGGCTATGTGGAGGTGAGCGGTTAAAGTTGTGTCGTGACAGGATGGTTGCCCACTTCATTTTGGGCCTTCGGAACGACACGACAGTAAATTCGTTCCACGCTGCATGTACACGATGCAAACAACAAACACAACAACAAACTTCAAAGCGTACCCTTGATACTTTTGGAAGGCCACAAATGATCGATCTTTTCCTTTTTTCAGTACGAAGCAAGCAAACCAACACCGGTTGCCGTTGTGGCTATCGTTTAAATTAAGAAAACCAGAAGTCAAGATAGCGGCAAACCAGATGTAGTTAATTGATAAACCGATAATTGATATTAATCGATAGTAATTGAAACCAATCATCGATGAATATCGATTTCCGATAAAAGAAATCGATAAAGAACAAAAGTTGTGACTTTGATTAATCGATTAATATCGTCGATTTTCCGATAGAAATCGATAATGATTTTTTAATCGATTACTATTGATTGTATGAAGTTTGATAAATTATTTTTTATCGTTTGATAAATTATTTTTTCAGAGACCTAGATTTCTATTGACTTCTGATATCAATCAATATTAATCGGTGGATAAAATCGATTTAATGTCGATGATATCGATTGATTTCTGATATCGATTTTAATTGATTAACTATGTCTGGCGGTAAACCAAGTAATTTTCACCACTTGTTCCTT